TGACTTCTCGTTTGAAACAGTCACATTCTGATAATGTTGTTTTAACGAGTCGCGCACAGGAACAATGAGAGCGAATAATTCTTTTTCGAAATTTATTCACACCCCCAATTTGATAATACGATTCATTGGTATGATTGCCAAAAAATCGTATCGTTTGTTGGCATGACCTCCCAGGTATGACGATGTCTTTTGGTGAATGCGTCTTCTTCTGAGGGTGTAAAACCTTGTTGGCATTCTCAGGGGTTATGCTGGGAGTCGCACATCTAAAACCACGCATTTGCGGGTATGGGGTCTTAACGGGCTCCGAATGCTGATTTTGCATAAGTCCAGACTTTGGAATCCAAACTTGGTGGAGTTTCGGTGGTTCTTTGGTCACCGTTTCCTTCCTCCTTTCTCGTCTTTGTTGTGAGAGAGCACGAGCAAGAGCAGCGTTTGCACGATGTTTTTGTATGCGTTCCTTGAGGGTCAAACGAGTCTTTTTGACAATAGTCCATTCCTCCGTCGTTGTTTTAGCAGAGATACGAGTGATTGGTTGTTGAGACAACTGAACTACTCGATGTCTCCTCGACTCTAGGTCCGCGTGGTAACGAACCCCGTCGGTTTGTTCCAAGGCCTTAGCCCTCGACTCTAGGTCCGCGTGGTAACGAACCCCGTCGGTTTGTTCCAAGGCCTTAGCCAATTGGCGAGCATAGCGTTGGCGTTGTCTCTTACGAGCTCTTTTCGTCAATGCCGGCGGGCTTTGATTCGATGACTCTTTAACTAGATAAGAACCATTGTGAGCAGAGGTGTTGCGAGTGAAATTCTCAGCAACAATAAAGCGAGAGTCTTCATTTTGTGCCTTCTTTGGCATGTAAGTCTTCCTCAATTGTGAGATCCTCTTATACTTGCGAGACAATGAAGATCTTGAAGAGGATGATGAGAGATATTCCTCAAACTTGGTTTGGTCGAATTCGTATTCGACCATGGATTCAACCGGGATCTTGATGATTGGCTGCGACACGACGGTCTCGGCAGCGAGACCGTTGGCTCCCACTGTGGTCGCCAGCTTGTTTGCGTCAAAAGTTGGTTTTGCTGTGAAATTTATTATATCTTCGTTTGATTACAATAAATTCAAAGAAATAGTCTTTTTATAAGACAGATCTCTAGGACTCGCTAGAAGCTTCTTGAGGATGTTTGTGAAGAAGGAAGACTCTCTCTCTTGCTCTAATTCACCAAAACTCAAGGCTCTCTGCTCTAATCTCTCTGGAAAATGCTCAGCCCCTGTCCATGATGACCATAGGGGGGTATTTATAGCCTCCTTAGACGATAACTGAAGAAATAGCTGGTCAATAACTGTCTCTTTAGGCGCGGCAGCTGATGCTGTCGCGGCTAAAGGGCGCGACAGTCGACACTGTCGCGGCCAAAGAGCGCGGCAGTCGACACTGCCGCGGCTAAAGGGGCAGTTACACCCACGTTCATACGTGTTTGAAACAGTTCTCCCACGACCTTTAACCACCTTTTTCGTGGTTTAACTGCTTTTCCACATCAGCACACGTTCTATTTCTGATACTCCGCCACGTGGACTTTAAATAATCATCAGATAACTGTATTATAACTGCTGTAGCATCCTGCTTTAACTGCCGCGACACCATAGGTTGCAGCGGTTAAGCCGCGATACCATAGGTTGCCGCGCCTTAGCCGCGGCACCTTGGTCTGTCGCGCCTTAGCCGCGGCACCATGTCTTGCCGCGCCTTAGCCGCGGCACCATGTCCTGCCGCGCCGCCATGTGTTGTTTGGTGACGTGTATATTGTTCTTCTATGTCATCTTGAGTGGTGTTTGAATGTCTGTAAGCATTTTTCGACGCCTACAGTATGTAATAAACTCTAATAATTTTAAAATACGTTGAGCAACACTTGAGACAAAACTCATCTCTCTAAACTGTAATTTATAATTCTCAAAGAACGGTCCGAAGTTGAATTAAAAAGAGAAAAAGAACCAACAAATTGAGTACAAATCCTCTGTCCTGCTATCATCAACACCACATAATTTCACTAAATTAGTAGAATTAGGGCTGGAGCTCTGAAATTAAAAAGGGTAAAATAACTTTACTTTCAGATTCTATTTAATATGCTAAAGAAAAAAGATCACCAAGAAATTACAAATGCACATTTTATCATTTACAAACAGCTAGTAAACATCCAACAGCCAACAAATGAAATAGTTATATATGTTTGTCTAATACTTCCACTCAAACAATGGTACATCATTACCCCGAAAGTACAAAAGATATTCTAGATCAACAATATCTAACTTCAATCACAACTACTTCCATTCACGACCTTCGCATATGATTTGAGCAGCAAGTCCTGCCCGTAACATCTCAGACTCTCTTTGCAAGAGGCTTCAATATTCATTGCCTCCCTTTCCTCTAGGATCACCTTGATGGAAAAAATATGCATGTATGCCACAATCATATCTGTAAAAATATCACATAACACTTAAACTACAACATATGTAACTGATAATGAGAATATATCACACAGAATATAAAAATATCACATAACAGCAGCATATGTCACACAGAATACCAAAATGTCACATAACATCAACATATGTCACAAAGAATACCAAAATGTCACATAACAGCAACATATGTCACACATAATACCAAAATGTCACATAACAACAACATATATCACACAGAATACCAAAATGTCACATAACAGCAACATATGTCACACATAATACCAAAATATCACATAACAGCAGCATAAGTCACATAGAATACCAAAATGTAACATAACAGGAGAATATATCACCCAAAATGTCACTATGTCACATGAAACCAACACGTGACATAAGCAAGTATCACGTGTATTAATAAATTGGTAAATGTCACTATGTCACATGAAACCAACACGTGACATAAGCAAGTATCACGTGTATTAATAAATTGGTAAATATAAGATGTTTAGAGAAACTTACGAGCCTTTTTTTTGCGTTCGACAATGAACTACTTTATATTCGAATGCTCTGAATGTCGACGCCTGGTCGTATCCATTCACCATCCTATCCAAAAATAGTTGGATGGTCAATATTCATTGCCTCCCTTCCTTCTAGGATCGTTTTGATGAAAAAATATGCATGTATGCCACAATCGTACCTAAATAGAAAAGAGGTAAAATCACATTGTAATGTATAAATATCACATAATAGTAGAAAAGAATCCCTGAATCCTGATACTATTTCCAAAATCTCATACATCTTAATTTTCCACATATTATCTACTACACTACATCTGCCTAAAACTGCTAGGACACTTCAAACCTTGTCCCGTTTTTAGAAAATGATATAGCAAACAAAGGATGATTTTAGAAAGTTTTGAATAATCAAGATAAAACACTGTATTTTAACAAAATATTTTGCATCAATTGAACGTCAAACAACATCTTAGGACAATTCAATAACCATGCTACATGCGCCATAGAACTATAAGTACATAATGCATAGCATATCTTTTCTCCAATATTTACGGAAGAAACGCAGTCCAAGTTCATAATTTTTTTCTGAAGTCCAAACTAATATATGCGGCCAAATTTCTCATATTAATCAACTAAAAGCTAGTTCCTAGAAACTAAAATGATGGCTAAAGTAAATGATTCAGAATTTATCTAGCTTCAGCTACAAGACACTAAATAAGCATTACAACACAACGAGACAGTAACTTTCTAGCAATCTCGTGTAAATGCAATCCAGATCAAGAAACAAATAAAATAAAAGAAGGAATCAAAGCAACCAACCTCAGATCAACCCAGCACCATCATCAGCACAATCTTTTCAACACTCACCCAATTCTTTGAATTCTTCGTGTCTTCATTCTGGACAAGTAACATATTAAGATAAATGCGCTTTTAATTTTTCTCAAAAATAAAAACCCTAAGATTCAAGAAATTGAATTGAAACTACAGAAAACAGTGATCAAATCAATAAACCCTAAAGTTTTACACAGTCAAATTGATACCTGCTCGCCTCTGGCCGGCGAGTGATGCGAAACTTCCAACGAAACCAGAGAGCAAGCCGACGACGAAGCTTCCAAAGATCTCTTGTCCAAGTTCTGACCTAGGGTTTCTAGAGGCTTGACGATGCCTCGAAGGACGAGGCGAGCGAGATTCGAGATGACGCCGTGTGTCTTATTGCCGCTGCCTCCTCCGACAGCGAGAGGCGAGGGGTTGTCGGAGATGATGTAGAGAGGAGGGAATGGGAGGGGGAGGAGGCGGACAGAGCCGAGGAGGGGGTCGAGGAGGAGGGGGAAGGGGGAGGAGGAGAGGATGCAGATGAGGAGGGAGGAGGGGAGGGGAGGAAAGGGATTGGGTTTTAAATTGGGAAGAATGGGTAATTTGGGAATTAATTTCTTAGATAGTGGGTATCTATACTGTTTGGGGGTTGGTTGCACTTATATTTTAATTTAAGGGCTTGAGGGTTAGGGGCTGTTTGGTTCCCTGTTTTTAAGGGAAAGTTTCTCTTGAAAGTCTGCCAAAAGTGTCAAAAATGTCACTTTTTGACAGGCTTTCAGCCAAAATCTTCTTTTTTAGAGGTGATTTGGACTGAAAGCCTGCCAAAAAGTGACACTTTGGCAGGCTTTCAAGAGAAAAAAATTCTAACCAAACAGCCCCTTATGGTTTTGGGGCTGGGGAGGAGGATGCATGACCCAACTTTTTTTAGTTCCTCTAAGCAATTTTCCCTAATAATAATAACATTTTTCACACAAACCCAAAGATCTGGATCTTCAAAAATCGGAGTCCGAACTAGCACCTCGCCATAATTTTCCACCATTGCGGACCCAAAATTCCAAATCCGTGGGCCCTAACTCAAACAATTAACAACCGCACGTTAAAATACAACCCATCAAATCCAACGGTTAACACGTCACCACCTCCAAGCTGCGCACGTTATCAAAATCGGCTCATAACCTCTACACTGCGCTGCGCTCGAGATAAAAGGCGAGGGATATCAGCGGGAGTGAGATTTTTCGATAAAAGTCCAGCTCTCTACTTAAAACCCTAACCCTAAAATTCGAAACCCTTGAAATCGAGCTCCATTTCCGTTGCATGATCGCTTGCGGCGACAATGGCGGCCATGTTCTCGGGTATCAATGTCAACCAGGTAATCGAAGGGAACCTTTTTTGGATCTGGATATTTTTTTATCGATTTAATCTAGATCTAATCCTTTTTTTGTTTCTTGTTCTTAGATTGCTATGGTTTTTGCTAAGCAGTACTATGGGATAATACATGATAATCCACAAGTTGGGTATCAGTTCTATACTGATGCGAGTACGATGATTCGAGTCGATGGAAGCAAAGAGAAATTCGTTGCTTCGATAATGGTATTTTTTAAAGATTTCTCTGAATTACTTATAGTAAAATGTTTATTTGGGAGAAACTTAGGTTAGAATCATGTATAATGACTGTAGAAATGAAATGTGGGTTGCTTGTATATTCTATATGTATCATATTTGGGTCCAATTAGTTCCAAAATGACTAAATTGAGAATTAATTACGGGCTTAAAGAGTTCTATGATTCAAGCTGATGGGAGTAGAGACAAGTCTGTTGCTCTGATAATGGTTTTTTTTAAATAATTTTTTTAGATTTTCTAATACCAGAAATTTTGGCTGGAGGAAACTGGGGTGACAATCCTGTGTAGTGACTATAGAACTGAAATGTGTGTTTCTTGTATATGATCTATGTATGTAAGTTTGTTAACAATGTGAAACCCTGTTTACTCTTGCTTTGGGGTAGTTGATGTTAGGGTCTATTTTAGACCCACACTCACTAAATGGGAATCAATTGTTGGTTTATAAGAGATTTTAGTTCCCTCACACTGATAGTTAGCTCTCACAGACTCACAGTATCTTTGTCACTTTAAGTTGCATCTCTCTCTCTCTCTCTTTCTCAGAAAGACATACTACATGATATTCGTTTCTTTTTCAAATCATGATTCTAGTAATTAACCATAAACACCAGTAATTGGGAAGCTCCAACCATAGCAGTTTCTGGGAAGTATCAAGAATGTGATGATAATTTGCTAGAAATATCGAGGAATGGATTTTTTTTTAATTTTTCACATACAAAGTTTACGTGTAGAAGATGTGTAACATTGAAAATGAGGGCTACTCTCTTGAAAGGATAGACACAACAGCCTTTATTGTTAAAACTTAAGGTCCATTGTTTTTTGTGCTCATTTCTACTAAAGAGGAAATATAAGGAATCTACCAAAAAAATCTCATGTATAACCTGACTTTTTATCCATTTGGATGCTTACTGTAGCATTATCTTAACTGATATGATAGTTTACAACATACAAACTTTTGTAGCTTTAATAATAAACATATAATATATATGAACTTTTGTTTCTATTAAAGAGGACATATAAGGAATCCACCAAAATATCTCGTGTATAAGCTGTTTGAGTGCTGCAAAAGCTGTTTGAGTGCTGCAACGTACCAACTTTTGTAGCTTTAACAATAAATGTATAATTTATATAAACTCATGGACTATCAGTCCTTTAAATTTTTTTCCCTCTCTGATTCCTGCAAAAATATGTTCCTCAGGAATGTTTACTTCATCAACTTTGTTCATTAAGCAGCAGCTCTTCCCCTTGCTGATGATTTCTTTTTTTGCAGAATATTCACAATCTTCTTTTGGATCTGAACTTTGAGACAATTGAGATCAAGAATGTAAATGGTCTAAGCTCTTGGTCTGGAGGTGTTCTCGTTATGGTTTCTGGTTTCGTGCAAATGAAGGATTGTGGTGGCAGGAGGAAATTTTCACAGACCTTTTTCCTTGCTCCACAAGAAAAAGGATACTTTGTGCTCAATGACATTTTTCACCTGCTTGATGAGGAAACAACAGTGCATCCCCCTGCTACTATGATGGGACATAACAATTATGATAATAGCTGTAATGTGGCCAATCATCATATGCAAAATCCTGGTATGATTCTATGATTGATTCAATTTGTTAGATATATTTTGTATGGCTAGGACATTTCTCTCACTTTTGAATGATCAATGGTTTGCATGTTTGAAGATAGATAGTTAATGCTATACTCTTTGAAACATGTAGCTTCCTACTTGTTGGCATGTAGCTATCTCTCAAATTGTTCGATAATGTGCCCATACATTTTTTCTTCCTTGGAGCAGTGTTTTGGAACATATTCTATATTATTGATCCATTATTTTCTATTTAATTTCGTTAATGTTACCATTCATGTATCGGGATATTTGAGAGTTTTAAATAGCAGAAAGTGTTTGGTAACATCTGCATTTTACAGTTATCCGTTTATCTGTGCCATTTCACTTGTTGTCTTTTTCTGGCTGACAAATTAACTAGATCCTGTTGAGATGAAACATTGACATGCTATAGTTGGTCCCATCAGGATTTTCTCCCTCAACATAGTGATTCTATATTTAATGTTTTCAACTTTGTAGCTTTCTTTTTCTTTCTGTTTATACAACCACAATTAGAAGGGAAACTCCTAGGTTTTATATGTTTTACAGCAGCAAAGGTAGTGGAAATGATTGATGTCAATAAAAGGCTGAATGTGATGAGTTACCAACAACATCATAAGAATGACTTGCTAGGTTGGAAACTCCTAGTTATACACTTTCCTCAGACCTTCGACTTCTAAAGCAGGTCATGGGATATAGTTATTCTTGTGTGTCTATGTACATTATTGATATACTAAATTAGTGATGCTTTTTACAGGTTTTGGATACACGGGCGGAGAAGGAATCCAGACTAGAGACTATGTTTCTCCTGTCAATGTTGTTGAAGAAGAGTTGCAGGCTAGGGAGTATGTGGCTCCGCTTCATGCAGAGGAGACCAACACAGTTGATAAATATAGCATACCAGAACCTCAGTATGTTATGCCTGAACCTCATTACAGCTTATCTGAACATCAATACAACATAGCTGAACCTCAGCAAATTTCTGAAGCTGGGAAACTAGATGAAATTCCTGCAGAAGAGCCTATTGCTTCTTTTCCAAACACAGCTACTCTGGTGCGAGACCCACCTGCACCTGCAGAACCTCTAGGAGAAAGGCCAAAGCAAAGCTATGCTTCCATCGTATGAGTTTATCCTTTACCTTACGTGAAATGTGTTATTTGGCTCCTTTTCTTGCATCTTTGTTATATATTTATGAGGCTGCGTTCACAGTTACGGCATGCAAAAGGACAAGCTAGCAACTCCATGCCTCGTGCTGCTCCAGTGAGCAAAATCAACCCCGTGGTATCAGACACACAAGTGGCAACTTCCCAGCAGTCTTATCCTGCAATTCCTGTGCAGCCTGAAAATTCCAGCTGGGAAGCAGTGGAGGAAGTCACGACAGTAGAGGATGAAGGTTAGTTCTTCCTCTCCATTTTCACAATTTTCTGTGAAAAACCGCCTATAGTGACTAGTGAGGGCACTTTCATGCTTATCTATTTAAGTTTTTTTTCAAAGGTGAAAATAATTAGTTGTAAATGTCATGGATTTGGACCTTTTCTGTACTCAGCCATGCTTTTTAAATCATCTAATTTGTATCATGAATTTAGAATGCTGATGTTCTCGTATGCTTTATGTACGTATGTTTGGTTCAATTTGTGGACCTCTCGTTCATGGAACGAATCGAGAGGGGATTTTGGTTTTGGTCCTAACTGTTTAAAGGTTTGACCAAGATGGGAATTTGATACGATCCTAACTGTTTAAAGGTTTGATCGTTCAATTTGTGGACCTCTCGTTCATGGAACGAATCGAGAGGGGATTTTGGCTTTGGTCCTAACTGTTTAAAGGTTTGACCAAGATGGGAATTTGAGACGATCCTAACTGTTTAAAGGTTTGATCGTTCAATTTGTGGACCTCTCGTTCATGGAAGGAATCGAGAGGGGATTTTAGCTTTGGTCCTAACTGTTTAAAGGTTTGACCAAAATAGGATTTGAGACGATCCTAACTGATTAAAGGTTTGATCGTCCAATTTGTGGACCTCTCGTTCATGGAATGAATCGAGAGGGGATTTTGGCTTTGGTCCTAACTGTTCCTCTTTTTCTTTCTTTTTTTGCATGTAAGTGTTTGTGTACGTGAGGATTTGGGAGGTTGGAGGGTGAGGGGTTGGATTTGAGTGCTATGAAACCTTATGGAATTTGTTGATGCTATCACCTTTATGCTGTTTCTTGGTATCTGGTTTGGACTTTGGAGCTAATAACTATTCTATTCATATTCAAACTCGATAAGCTTTGAGGGTCTCCATTACCCTAGGGAAACCACTGAGCACTTTGTGTACCCAAACCTGATTCACTTTATTTTTATTTTTATTCTTGTCAGGTTTCAACACTTATCAAGCAAGGTTAATATGTCTACAAGTAAGAGTTGTATAAAGAAACAAAATAAATCTATTCTTTGCATACGTAATAGAAGCTTTATAATAACTATCAGGTAATGGCGTGGTTAATATTTATGCAAGCCAGAGACTCATAGTATACAACAACAAGCAAACCTGTTATTTACATAAATAATGGAATTTTCACCCACAAGGCAGTACTAACATTTAGAGCCATTCCTTCTAAAGTCATCTGATGAAATATTAAACGGGAACAAATATCAAAATAAGAAGGATAATAATATCTCTATTTTTATAAAGATTTAATTGAGGTATGCCCCTGTACTATTGAGGTACAGTCACTTATACCCCGTAAACTGTTCTACTAGCACTTATCATGAACTTCAAGCAATATGACCGCCAATTTGCTTTGAGATGTCACATGGGAATTGCATGACCAACTATCTTTTGTCCCGAGTTCAACTAAAAAGACTAAACTGACCAAATCGAGGGCCAACATGTAACATCTTCTGAGGCTAAGTGGGTTGTAGCGGTGTTATCAAAGGCTTACGTCTCATTGTGCCTCGTGCACCCTCGGATGAGAGGCAGTGGCGATGCCTCCTGCATCTGATGTGGCAGCGTCTGTTTGGAGAGAAAGTTGATTGATTCATTGCTGTGTTCATTACAATTTCAAACGTTACAATGAAAACAAAAATTAGTCTTTTTATAAGACCTTTACACAATAAAAACAAAAAAAGTACAACTCTTGTCAAACAGCGCAATGGGTGTTTATCGCCTGCTGCTTGCGTGAGATGTTAGCCTGTGACGAGGATGTTGATATCCGTGGATCACCAAACGATCAGATCAGATCCGGAGCTTCGTCGATTTGCGAAGGAATCAAGAAACCGAAGCAATTATCTCGGCAACAGCGAGATAATCACTCTTCTCAAGATCACCGCAACGAGGCGATCTCAAGGAAAAGAATCGGCCTTCAGATCTATCGAACTCTCCTTTATGCCGAAGAATTCGCTGAAGTCTCCTCCTCCGAAATTCGTGGTTCTTCAGTTCTCAATTCAACAGGGCTTCGCCAACGCTCGAGAGTTCCAGATCTGAAAAAATAAAGGCCCTGGGGCTTTATTTATAGGCTTCGAGACCCCTGTTTTCGGATAAGAACGGATGGTTCCCTCTTATCCTCAGTTGTAACCACTTAACCATGTTCTTGGATGATATTCTATGAGTTAAAACAAATTCAGACGGTTAACGATTGAAAAACAGCTTTAAACTGTCAAAATTTAGTTTTTCGGGTCTACGGACACCTGTGGGTGTCTCGGCCAAGCTTGGGCCGAGACACCTCTTGGTGCCTCGACCAAGACTTGGCTGGGACACTCATGGGTGTTTCGGCCAAGCCTTGGTCGAGGCACTCATGGGTGTCTCGGTCAAGCCTTGGCCGAGACACCATTTGGTGTCTTGGCCAACTTTGGCCTGAACTTCGATTCGCGCGTTCTGTCCGTTTCCGCCGTATCTTCATCGTCCGAACTCGGAATTGCGTGGTTCAAGATGCGTTGGAAAGCTAACGAGGAGATCTACAAGCTCCCATGATTGAATTATATGTGGAATAAATGGGATACGAGGGGCGCTTCGCCTTTCGTAAGCGACGCGAGGCTCCCGATCAGTTCGTGTTTCCATTATTCCGAAGTTTCGTTACTTCGTATGGTCCGTTGACTCACTTCGTGCGTTTGTCGTCGTCACATGAGCTTCTGTGACTCGAATAGCGACGTTCATCGTCTTCTCTCTGTCTCGAGTCACGTGCGGGGAACTATAGATAATTTTTGGCGCCTACAGCGTTCTTGCACTTCGCATAGGATGCATGCAAAATATAGCCTGGTATATTTTTGTCATTTAACATTCCAATTGAGTACCTGATACTCCATATCCCAAAAAGAAAATTAAACTCTTTAGGTCAGTTTACTAGCTTGATTGAGGACTCTTAACTCATTCCTGTTTACTAATTGATTTTTCTTCGACATTAGTCTTGATTTGACTTTTGATTTGGAAAATTATGACCTTAAACACTATGTTTGGGTGTGTTGACAGTATCAATTTATAAACATGTTCTTTCATGCTTGATTATTTATCTTGAAAAATTATGTGTGTCGTGTGTGTCTCGCTCAGCTTGGGCGCGTGCATTGCATTGCGCCTTGCACATGTACACATAAAGGGACTTTGCGCCCCACATTGCACATTGCGCATTGATAACACTAGTTGTGAGTGCTAATGAAATAGTTAAGGGGATATAAGTGGTGATACCATGATTGCCATCATACTATGGGAATGTATCTGCAATTAACCTTTTGTAAATAACATTCTGGATAATATATAAACCGCTCTAATTTTCATCTTAAAGAGATTGTCATTGTTTGAGCTTAATTTCACTCTATGTACTATGATATCGCAGAATCTTAAGAGATTACAGTATATCTTAGAATCTCAATAGGTGAACGTCCCTTCACCACTTAGTGTAGGGTTATTGGGTTAGTTGATTTATATACAAGTATATCGACATCCAAGACCTATAAACTTTCTGTTGGATTTTTAAATTCCTCCCCATCCAATATCGTTTGCAGATTTGAAATACCACTCAAGCCTATTTAAGTCGAAATTTGAGTCAGGCGACTCGGGTTAGTAGGATACAGCCACCATTGCAACCCGAGGGAAGTCTTAAATGATTTGCTCTACAGAGTCACCTGATTTATTTTGTTTCCCTCTTTTGTTCTTTGGCTTTCACTTTTGCAAATATTTTTTGGTTAATATCGTTTCTTATTTTAGGTGAAGTCAAATCTGTTTATGTGGGAAACTTGTCATCTTCTGTTTCTGCCTCTGATCTTGAGAATGAGTTCAAAAACTTTGGAAGAATTAGGGAAAATGGGGTTACTGTCAGGAGTCGCAAGGTGTGTTTTTCTTGGCTTCTTGGATCTCTTCTGTCCTCTAAGTTGTGAGGGACTTGACTCTTAATTTTAAATGTGTAGGATTCCGGTGGTTTCTATGCTTTTGTTGAATTTGAGGATGCTGCCAGCGTTCAGACTGCACTCCAGGTTTGTTACATTTGGACTCACTACTCATACTGATGGTACCAGATCTTATTTCAGATCTTATTTCTTCTGTGTGCTTTGTGGCTGAATACACACGGAGAATCTAGTACTTCCAGATTGTGAAGAATTGATAATTTTATCTCATTCCATAACTGTATAATTAAGTTTTTTATTAAAAAGTTGGCGTGTTGCTTAGAATAATTCCACTTGATGACACCAGAGTTGATTGTTTTCTGGTGGCTTTGCTAATTTTTTTGATAATGTATTCTGTATAGACAGATATATATTTGTTTGTTTATGTTTATATCTTCATGATTTTATCTGGTATCCATTACTGTAATCAACTGGAAATCAACGTAAGGTTATATGGTTTAACATCCTCATGATTTGTGTGATCTTATTGTATTTATACAGGCATCCCCAATATTGGTGAATGGACGACAAATATATGTCGAAGAAAGGAGACCTAATAGCGGCATATCTCGCATGGGAGGAGGAAGTGGGTATCTCTTATTTAAACCTATAATTGTATTTTTTTCATTTTGTGCATGTGAGGCAGGTTGTCGTGTCTTTGTGCATGAAAACCAAACTTCTTCCTAATCGTATCATTGTTTTCTGATATGAATTTTTTACTACAGGAGTGATGGAAGATCAGTTTTGTGCTAACAAATGTCTGTGCTATCAATAACTAATGAACGTCTAACATTCTGCTTCTTTGCTTTCAGTTTCACTTTTCTTTTAAGTACTCAATATGAAAGGAATAACTGTTCTGTGTCGAAAAGATTGAGAGGCGTGAACGGCGCAAACGTTGACCTGGAGTTACTTGACTAGTTTTAGATTCTGAGAGTCCATGTGGGAGTGTGAAAAGGGGTTTAAGTTTTAGGTCGAGAGTACATAATCATGCCCTTCAGTACACTTATGGGCTCTTTTTCCAGATTATGGGTTATACCCTACACTGATCCTCATTATTGTCATTGAATTGACCTTAGTAGTAGAGCAACAAAATGTATATTTACTACTAAAGTAACTCCTTTTCCTTATAGATTCTTGTGCACAACTCTACTCAAGAGAACTGGTTTCATCACTTATAGTTTGATGTACTTGAAATTATAAGGAAGAGCTATCAATTGTTGCTAATGGAGCTTTTTATGTTGACAAAATTTATGGGGAGAGTGCACAAGGGATAGCCTAGTTTGGCATTATGAACTGCATCTATTGTATTCTGAGGTTTGGGAAATGGGGACCAAGGCATGGGATCCATTCAGACCTTCTCTTTGTTCACGTACAGAATGTAAACTGAGACCTGAATGTATTCATTAGCATTTATCTATTCCTTGCAAACTCTTATCTATTATCTTCTTTAGTTATGGGGATGGATTATTTCTAATGACTGTGGGGAAAGGGAGCTTTAGATTTGGTCCAGCCCTTTTGTGCACTTTCTGTATGTAAAATTTGACGGTCAAGTTGCAGTTTTATAGCATTTAAAATTATTATCATTGTTACTTGTAAGGTCATTCTTCTTCTTGTAACTGCTTGAATATTCTCTATATAGTAATGGCAACGAGTATAATCTTACTTGACCAGTTATGTTTTTGTGCGTGTCTCTTGCATTTAGTATAATATCAACAAAGTCTTTATCCCAAAATTTTAAGGTCATTACTAAGAATCCTATTCTTCCCTTCACTTATTTAACAGCAATCTCTCCATCAAGTTATCTATTATTATATCCTTCAATTTGGCTTAGGCCTACCTCTAGTCCTCCTGGTCTTGTCAACTATAACCTTATCAATTCTCCTAACTCGTGCATGGAGGTCTAGTCACTCGAATGTCTCTCTTTTCATCCCCAATGGCAGCAAAACTCTAGCCACCGTACAAATGCTCTTATTTTTTATCTTATCTCTTAGTATATTATATCCACAACTCCATCGTACCATTCTCATTTATGCTACTATGGTTTTTCTCGCATTTTGTTTCTTAACTTGCCCAACATTGTACCAACTATCATAATTTATTACCTTGTATTTAACATTTTGCATCCTCTACAGGAAGAGGGAGAGGACGAGGCGGATATCAACAATCAGACGTGCCCAGGGGTCGTTTCGGTGGCCGAGGTTACTTCAGGAGCAGCGGAAGTGACTTCCACGACCGGGAGTATAACGGCGGTCGTTCAAGAGGAAATGGATTTCCCCAGAGGGTCCCACGCCAGGAGAGGGGCATTCTCGGAAACCATGCGATGAGGAATGGGCAGTACCCGTCAGAATCAGCGGACTAGTTATCCGTCATTTTCATTGGACGTTTCAGTTGCCCCTGCAAAAGATACTAGTATCAGATTATCGACATATAATTTTGGCCAGTGTTTTGTTTTTTAGTACATTAGGTTGGGGGCAATTTCAAGATTTTCCAAAAGGAATACAGCTGGTTGAATTAGTATGAGTTTTGACATGGTGCTATGTCTTTTGACAGTCTCTGGATGCAATGAAGAGCATTTGGAGAGCGCTTTCTCTTGGTTTTTACTAAAAAAGTCTTTATCCTTTGTGTTGCGCCATAGCCTAATATCTGTTTTATGTGGGTTACATTGTTTTTAAGTTGTTTTCTTTTATCCGAATCGATGTGATGTGGGTTGTGGCACGAGAAGTCTGGGTTCTGCTCAGTGAATTGAAGGGATAGGTTGTTGATGAAGGACTTCGGGTTATTTTTTGGACCAGATGCTCAACCCTTGAGGATTTTGAGTCTAGGCTGAAAGTAATAAGCTCTGGTATAGTTCGCTTACTTTTGTATAATATCGAATGTACTTTATAGTTGTTGTTTGCTTTGTTGCGGCTATATTTTCTGCAATTACAGCTACAGAAAGTTATTGTTACAGCGAAACTGCCGAAATGGACTGCTGAGTTGAATAATGTGTCTTGGCTATATGTTATCGAATCAAACTACTTTACGAGGCAAAATTTGTCTAATAAAGATGGTGTTCTCATATGATTGTTCTTCTTCTGAATATATTACTCCTCAAATCTTGTAAATTCAAACAAAATCAATCAAAAATGTATATCAATTCAGCTCTGAGTAAGCTTGATTCAACAGGCGAAGAGGCTGTGAAATTTAGCCGCATATTGAAAATGTAATGCGGGCCATACTTGCAAGAGTGTTATTTTTACCACATAGCTTTGCTATTTCAGGAAATGATCATTTTTAAAGTTAATAGTGGGGAAAAAGTAGAAAGTCAAATGATTGCGGACGTAACTCGCATGCTAAGTTACTAACGGGTTTTGTTAAAGTTATTTTAAGGAAAAATTGCTTCAATGCCCCAAAATCCAAAAATCAATGTGCCCCAGCCCCCCTATTTTTACCAATGTGCTACAACCTCTAATTTTTGGAAAAGTTGTCCTCAGGCCCCTCCAGCTCACATCTCCCCAAGTTCCAATGCATTTTATTTAAAATCCTAATTTTACCCTATCTCCTACACCTCTCTCCTCCAACCCCCCTCTGCCCCCTCCCTCAACTCTCTCATCCTCTCCTCCTCATGCTCCTCAACGCATCTTTCCCTCTCCTTCTTCCTCATCACAGATCTCACTCTCCCTCGTTTTCGTCATCGTCTTCTTGGTCTCGATCTCACTCGCCCCTGCCTCCGATCCCGCGGCGGCGCCGGCTCCCTCTCCC